GTATCCTTATGATTATTGCCTTAAATTCTCCTTGAGGCACATTACTTATACCTGTTTCACTTAGATCTCCAGTTGTTGCCTTGTTCTGTTCTTTAATTTGGGGCAAATTCCTCTGATTTCTCATTTTGTCTAAGTCTCTGTGCCTGTTTCTCTGTGTTAGGAAAGTCACCTACATCTGCTGTTCTTGAGGGCAGTTGTTTTATGAAGAAGAGGTCCTGTAGTGCCTTGCAGTGTAGTGTCCTCTGTGCCTCAGGGCCTGGTGCTTCCAAGAATGTCTTCAGTGTATGTTTTGTGCGCTCTGCTGTCGTGTCCTGGCTTCTTTATCCTTCAGGCCATTTGTCTAGAGAGGCTCTCTTTGCCTGTTGTGGGCAGTGTTTGGTCCTTGGCCTGACTGTGGCATATTTTAACTAGGTGTGCTCTGGTCTGCTTGTGAAGTGAGACCTGTTGCCACCACCACCAGAACCAATGCCTGGCAAAACTTCCTGGTCAGGTGATGTGGTGTTGGCAGGGGTTTGGGCTCTCTTCTGGGGAAGGTGGTTTGCCATGCTGGGACTGAGCCAAATGTGACTAGGAGGGGCAGTTCCACCAGAGCACCAGGGGTGGGGCTTGGCATAAGCAACTTAGGGAGCTAGGGTCATTGCTAGGCTGGTTCCTGCAGGAGGCCCTGTGCTTATGCTGAGGTTCAGGGGAGGGAAATGGCACTGGTCAGTTCCTTTGTTCCTGGAGGGGTCTCTGTGAATACTGCTTCTCTGGGACATGCTCTGAGATGAGCAGATAACCTCCCCACTATGTGCCCTGGGAGCTCTTTAGATCACTCTTTCCCTGCTGTATGTCCACAGGCTCTTTTCCCTGCCTTCTCTCTAAGAGCAGCCCCAATATCCTTGGAGCTCTTCAAGAGCCAAGCACAGTGACCTTTAAAACTCTAGATTTTGGGGCACCTGGGTGGCTCAGTCTGTTGAGTGTCCGACTTCGGCTCAGGTCATGATCTCATGGTTAGTGGGTTCTAGCCCCACACTGGGCTCTGTGCTGACAACTAGCTCAGAGCCTGGAGCCTGTTTCAGATTTCTGTGTCTCCCTCTCTCTCTGACCCTTCCCTGCTCACACTGTCTTTCTCTCTCTCAAAAATAAATAAAACATTAAAAAAAAATTAAAACCCTAGGTTTAAAGCCCTGCCAAAAGTCATGAAATTTGGCACTTCTCCCTTTCTAAGCCAATACCTGTGGGGATTTGTTTTTCCTGTGCACCGTCCTATGTGTTAGTCTGTCTCTCTCCCTTCTCTTCAAAGTCGCCTCCCTCCCCACTGTAGTAACCAGGTTCTGTTTCTCTCCGAAGTTGCATCTCCACACTTCCTACCTTCTTCCATGTGGCTTCTTCTTTACCTTTATTTGTGGAGTTTGTTCTACCAGTCTTCAGATCAATTTCTGTGTTATTTAGGATGATTTGGGATTTCTGGGTCAAGGCAGCCTAGAGTCCGACATTTACCATGCTTTAATTAATTAATTAATCAGTCTATTTATTTTTAAGTAGGCTCCATGCCCAATGTGGGGCTTGAACTCACAGTCTGAGATCAAGAGTTGCATACTCTACTGACTGAGCTAGCCATGTGCCCCTATTTATTTATTTTTAAAATAAGTTAAATAATTTTACTAATCTCTACACTCAACTGCAACTCACGACCCTGAAATCAAGAGTTGCATGCTCTTCCGACTGAGCCTGCCAGGTGCCCCTACTATTGTTAAACTGAGCTTTATCATCTTTCTTTCCAAACTGGTTTCTCCTTTAGTGTTCTGATTTCAGTGGTAAAAATATCTTCCCCAGTTGTTTCAAACCTTTTAGTATTAGAATTTCTTCACACTTTTAAAAGTTATTGAGACCATGAAAAGAGCTTTTGTTTATGGTTGGTAATAGCTATCAATATTAGTGTATTGGAAATTAGAACTGAGAAATTTTAAAAACATTTATTAATTCATTTTATTTTTATTTACTTATTTTTAATTTTTTAATGTTTTATTCATTTCTGAGAGAGAGAGAGAGACAGTGTGAGCAGGGGAGGGTCAGAGAGAGAGGGAGGTACAGAATCTGGAACAGGTTCCATGCTCTGAGCTAGCTCTCAGCACAGAGCCCAATGCAGAGCTCGAACCCACGAACTGTGAGATCATGACCTGAGCCAAAGTTGGACACTTAACCGACTGAGCCACCCAGGCACCCCTTATTGTTTTTTCCTTATAATAGGATTTTTTTAAATTATTTTTTTCCTTACAAATAGTTTATTGTCAAGTTGGTTTCCATGTAACACTCGGTGCTCATCCCCACAAGTGTCCTCCTCCATGCCCATCTCCCCCCTCCCCCCCACATCCATCAGTCCTCAGTTTGTTTCTCAGCATTCAAGAGTCTCTCATGGTTTGCCTCTCTCCCTTTCCCCCACCATTTCCCCCCTTCTTCTCCCCCATGGTCCTCAGTTAAGTTCCTCCTAATCCTCGTATACGTGTAAACATATGATATTTGTCCTTCTCTGCCTGACTTATTTCGCTCAGCATAACACCCTCAAGGTCCATCCATGTTGCTACACATGGCCAGATNACATCTTCTTGATCCATTCATCTGTTGATGGACACTTAGGCTCTTTCCATGTTTTAGCTATTGTGGAGAGTGCTGCTATGAACATTGGGGTCCATGTGCTCCTATGCCTCAGCATTTCTGTATCCCTTGGGTAAATTCCTAGCAGTGCTATTGCTGGGTCCTAGGGGAGTTCTATTGTTAGTTTCCTGAGGAACCTCCACACTGCTTTCCAGAGGGGCTGCACCAGTTTACATTCCCACCAACAGTGTAGGAGGGTGCCCGTTTCTCCACATCCTCGCCAGCATCTAGAGTTCTCTGATTTGCTCATTTTAGCCACTCTGACTCACTCTGGCGTGAAGTGGTATCTCAGTGTGGTTTTGATTTGTATTTCCCTGATAAGTAGGGATGCTGAGCATCGTTTCATGTGTCTGTTGCCCATCTGGATATTCTCTTTGGAGAAGTGTCTGTTCATATCTTCTGCCCATTTCTTCTCTGGGTTGTTTGTTTTTCAGGTGTGGAGTTTGGTGAGTTCCTTATAGATTTTGGATATTAACCCTTTATCTGATATGTCAATTGCAACTATCTTTTCCCATTCCATTGGTTGCCTATTAGTTTTGTGGGTTGTTTCCTTGGCTGTGCAGAAGCTTTTAATCTTGATGAGGTCCCAGTCATTTATTTTTGCTCTTGATTCCCTTGCTTTTGGGGATGTGTCAAGTAAGAAGTTGCTGCGGTGGAGGTCAAGGAGGTTGTTTCCTGCTTTCTCCTCTAGGGTGTTGATAGTTTCCTGTCTCACATTCAGGTCCTTTATCCATTTTGAGTTTATTTTTGCCAGGCACCCCTTATTAATTCATTTTAAGATGATAACCGGTTACATGTTAACATAAAAGCAAGTCTTTTATGAAAAAAAATCAAAACAGCAACAATAAAATTTAATGAGAAATGTTTTTCATTTTTAAAAATCTGATTTAATATTTGGGTTAATAGAACACAGATGAATTATCTTCTCTGCCTTTTCATTCAGTTGGTTGTGATATAACACGTCCTTTATCTTCTGGAAAATACTGTCATATACCTTTGAGAGGATGACAGTGAAAAGGGCAAACAAGACCTTAGTATATTATAAAAGTCCTTTTGACCTTGCAGAAAAAACAAGTCTTAGAGATTTCCAGGGGATTCAGGCCATAATTTGCAAAGCTGCTTTTCTGTCCAGTCCCTTAAGTGTCTTATACTTTTCACACAATCATCATACACATCTCATATGTTACTCAGTCTTAGTGATTTCACCTCCTGATGCCTCTTGGGTCACAATCCCCTCATTCTGTAGTCAGAATTCTTTTTCCTAGCTGGTGTCTCTGCTTCTATTTCATCTTCTTTCTAAGCTATCCACATTGTAGCAAAAGTAATGTTTCTAAAATAGAAATATGATGTAACTCACTTTTGAAAATCCTTTACAAGTTTCTCATAGCGTTAGTTAGTATGCAAGATGTTTTATGATCCTGTTTCCACGGATCTCTATCTTTTTTTCTCAAGCTACTTTGCTGTGAGCACCTTATACTCTAGCTTTCTTTATGCAATAGTTGCTGATCTGAGAAAGCATCATGGTGATCCACATGTCTGTGTTAATGATACTATTTGTTGGGTTCACTCTATTCCTGGCACTGTGTTCTAAGTACTGTATATGTATATACATAATATATATATATAATATATATATATAATCTCATTTAATCTCCACACAGCCTTCCAAAAAAAAAAAAAAGTATTTTCATCATCCCATTTTATAGATAAAGAAACTGAGGTTTAGAGAGATTAAGTAACTTTCCTCAGCTCATCCAGCTGGTGAATATGGAATCTAGGTTTGTTTTTCCACTTCTCTGTTAGGCTAAATACTATTTGTCCTGGAGGATTAGGCTTAAACATCCCTTCCTTCTGGAAGCCTTTCTTCTGGTATGATATTTAAATGCCTGCTTCCTGTATTCCCATTAAGCCTTGTGAGCAGCTCTAGCTAGCACTTAACATAATACATTATAATTTACTTGTTTGTTTCCTGTACATTGATTTTCCTGGTAGGTGCAGAAAGGGAACTTGATTCTTTTGACACAAGAATCTTAGATTGCATTCCAACATATTTGTCTCTAAGAGAAAAATAAATACTGGAGACCTTAAAACCTGATGTCACTCTGGGCCTACTTCGTCTATTCATTCCCTCAATTTCAGAGGAACCATAAAACAGATAATATTATTTCTGTGTTAATTCTTCCAAGTTTTAAAAATAGTAACTCTGATCTTTTATTAGTTTAGAGAAGACTAAATAACAACAACAAAAATAATAGCTAACATTTATTTAAATGCTTTCCATGTGTATAAACATTTTACCTGTATATTAACCCATTTAATTTTTACAGTTCCATGAGATAGTTATTGTTACCTTTGTTTTACAGATAAGGGAAACCGAGGCACCAAGAGATTAAGTAACTTGCCCAAGATCACACAGCTTGTAAGTGGCAGAGCTTGAAATCAAATCTCTAAAAACTATACTGTACAAAATACTGAATCTTCTTTATCCAAGATCCCATAGTTGTATTCTTTGTTAGGATAAAGGTAAGTGAGGATTAGAGGTAAATTTATATGGCACAACTCTGGTGTAGTGATCTTATAGAAAAAGATGATTTAGTATAGGTTTTTTTAAAGTGTGTTTTCTTTTTAAAACAACATCTTTTTGGTTTAAATGAAAGGATCTTTCATGTTATCTTTATTATCAAATCATTATCACAGTTCTGAGCCTCCAGCCCAATTAATTCCCAGTGAATAACAACAACAAAAAGTTTTACATTTTAGTTGACACTTAGAGGTTGATAATAATTTTTCTTCTCCCAGCAGGTTTCATTGGTTAATTTCAGAATCCTGTTTTCTTTATTTATTAGAGAGACATATCTGAACTTTATCTTTTTGGTGGGATTCATTTGCTCTTACCTTTCTTTTTTTCGGTGACCCTAGTCCCTTGAGTATTGCAGTGGATATTTAATTTAGAGAATGTTAATTAGCTTCGGTAATTACATACCTTGGGGGCATTTCTAGACATTTATAGCTTTGTATTTTTGGTATACAACAGGATATATTGGAACTTGTTTTAAGGTTGTTTGTTTTTCTATTTTTTTTTTTTTAATTTTTTTTTTTAATGTTTTATTTCCAGGAGAGAGAGAGAGAGAGACAGCGTGAGCAGGGGAGGGTCAGAGAGAGAGGGAGTCACATACTGAAATAGGCTCCAGGCTCTGAGCTGGCAGTCAGCACAGAGCCTGACGCGGGGCTCGAACCCACGAACCGTGAGATCATGACCTAAGCGAAAGTCAGATGCTTAACCGACTAAGCCACCCAGGCGTCCCTTTCTATTTGTTTTTAAAGAAAGCTTTGAATTTTGTTCAGGGAGGAGTGCTTAAGTCAGTCATGGAATTTAGGACTATTGGGAGTTTATTTTACCAGTGCCCAGGAATATCATACTGTGTTTTGCTAATAGTGTCTTGAGGTCATGAAGAGTAGTTTTTTGATGATGCATAAGGATGCTGTAGTTGAGTTTCAGAATCAGACCAATGTAGAGGATGCAATTTTCTTCAAAAAGCCTTTGAATAAGAACCCAGGCTGGTTTTGAGATTTGTGTGATGCAGAAAGCACATCTGTAACATGTCCCCTTTGTTGACACACTTTCAGTCTCAGTTATACAGGATGTGCTTTGAGCTGTCTTTTTACCAGTCATCATTCTATCTACCCAGTTTCATGTATAATGTTGTCAAGGTCGTCTCAGTCTCTTTTAGAATAGATTTGATTCCAGATCACCTACCTCTGCTACAGTATTCTAACCCACCCCCCCTTTTTTTTTAGTTTATTTATTTATTTATTTATTTATTTATTTATTTAGAGAGGGTGTGCACAAGCAGGGGAGGAGCAGAGAGGCAGAGGGAGAATCCCAAGCAGGCTCTGTGCTACCAATGCAGAGCCTGATGCAAGGCTCAAACCCACGAACCTGGAAATCATGATTTGAGCCAAAGTTGGACACTCAACCAGCTGAGCCACCCAGGTGTCCCATAGTATTCATCAGAGAGATAAATGGATGAAGTTAATTTTTTTAAAAACTTATTCTTTAAAAAATTTTTCTTTAAATGTTTTATTTATTTTTGAGAGAGAGAGAGACACCATGAGCAGGGGATGGTCAGAGAGAGAGGGAGACACAGAATCTGAAGACAGGCTCCAGGCTCTGAGCTAGCTGTCAGCATAGAGCCCGACGCGGGGCTTGAACCCACGAACCACGAGATCATGGCCTGAGCCGAAGTCGGACGCTTAACTGACCGAGCCACCTAGGCGCCCCAGATTAAGTTAATTTGAAAACCATAATATGTTTTTGAGAATGTGTTGTAAGATATAGTTTGTAGACTTTTTTGAGTTCTTCAGAATTGATAGGATTGATCCATGCAAGACTTGAGGAAGTTGGGGGTAAAAATGTGAGACTTGCAGAAAGGGACTTTTTTTCCTAAACTATTCTTTTAGATTTTTTCCTACTAGATCCCTTCCTATTTGGAGCTTAAAACAAGAGCTTCAGTACAATTTAGTTAATTGAATTATCCTCTCTTGTAGGATTATATGTGAAATTACTGAGTATTATAAGTATCCCTCTGCAAGCAGGTAAGGAAGCAAAGGTGAAGAGAGCAGAAATGTCCTCATATTAAAGGCATACTAATGTTTTCAATAATTTCATTTTCTTTTTCTTTTTTTTAATGTTTATTCATTTTTGAAACAGAGAGAGACAGAGCACAAGCAGGGGAGGAGCACAGAGAGAAGGAGACACAGGATCTGATTTTTGAGAGAGAGAGAGAGAGAGACAGAACATGAATGGAGGAGGGGCAGAGAGAGGGAGACACAGAATCTGAAGCAGGCTCCAAGCTCCAAGCTGTCCGCACAGAGTCCCATGTGGGGCTTAAACTCAAACCATGAGATCATGACCTTAGCTGAGGTTGGTTGGTTAACCAACTGAGCTACCCAGATGCCCCTCAGTATTTTCATTTTTAAGGAAACTGTTCTGAAATTATAGGAAGCAGCTAAGAGAAGTAGCCGTATATAAATAATTCCTTTTCTGATTATACTAGGATTGCTAACATATTATATTGATGTTGGGTGTCAGATAAGCACTCTGTACTTTTTGTAGTTAATGGTTTATTAACAAATACTTATATGTTGTGCCAAGAGCTGTCTGAAAGTATAGGATATAGCAATGAAGAAAAAGAAAAATTCCCTCCTTGATGAACATACATTTTTCCCATTTTATTAAAATATAATTGATGTACAGCTCTGTGTAAGCTGTACTACATAGTGACTTTACATACATATATTGAGAAATGATCACCACAGTAAGTTTAATTAGCATTCATCTTCTTATATAATTACAAAAAATAAAGCCAACATCTTAATGGGAGAAATGGTTATAAGAAAAATAGCAACCAATACCACCAGACCTTCGTGGAGTCAGTGACGGAAATTCCTAAAATGAAACCCCACAGAAATGGTTGTGTTTTGTTGTACTTTCTCTGAAATTGGCCCTACATTTTTGTCCTTTTAGTCCCTCTTTTGCCTGATGGCAGAGCATATAGTAGTAGCTTCAGTTTTTCTCAGATTTGCTCTCCACCAAGCACCCTGCAAAATAATTTTGAAAATTATTTCATCACATTAAACTCCTGTGAAAGAGATTATTTTATGGGTCAGTAAAATGAAGTTTATAAGAGGTAGTATACTTACAAAACAGATCACATTAAAAAAAACAGAAATGGGCAGCTAGGTGGCTCGGGTCGGTTAATCGTCCAACTCTTGGTTTCAGCTCTGGTCATGGTCTTATGGTTTGTGAGTTCAGGCTTCACATCAGATTCTGTGGAGCCTGCTTGGGATTCTCTCTCCCTCTTTCTCTGCCCCTCCCTTGCTCCTCTGCATGTGTGCTCTCTCTCTCAAAATAAATAGTCTTAAAAAATCAAACCAGAAACAAACAAACAAACTTGAATCAGATCATATAGTTGGTATTTGATAGGGATAGACAGGCCTGCTCCTAACAATTTCAGGGCAAAAGCATAAATGAAAGCATAGTTTTCATGTATCTGTATATTTAAGTTATAAATCAAGATAAAAAAAACTGGGTGGTGCCCGAGTGGCTCAGTTGGTAAAGTGTCCGACTTTGGCTCAGGTCATGATCTCACAGTCTGTGAGTTTGAGCCCCACGTCGGGCTCTATGATGACAGCTCAGAGCCTGGAGCCTGCTTCAGATTCTGTGTCTCCTTCTCTCTCTGCCCTTCCCAAAATAAATAAATAAACATTTTTAAAAAACTTTTTTTTTTTAAAGAAAAGTATTTCCCCTTCTAGAAACCTAGACATATGTTTCCCTAATGATGTAGAAGGTCAGAATTATTGGACTACTCAGAGTTCTGAGACAGGATGGGTTAGTGCAGATGTACCCTCTAAGCCTAGTCTCCATCCTCAGCCTCTCATCATCTGTCGCTTGGCCATGATTCAGACCATGGAATATGTACAACAGTGGGTATAGGTATTGTCTATTGTAGGACAGAGTTTGAGAAGAGATCCACTGAAGGCCTTGGAAATGGGCTCAAAACTGCTTGGGCAGGGAATTCTGGGATCCAGAGCATAGTCGGATTTGGTAGAGTCAGGGGGCTTTAGGTAGATTTGTCCACTTGGTCCACTGAAAATCTTGCCTGAGGGGATAAACAGGTCAGAAGAGGGTCAGAGTGGATATCTAAGATGTAAGACCCAGAATAGCGTTCATTTACTATAACCAAGGGTTGTGCTAGTGCCAGGACTGAAATCCAGGTCTATCTGACTATACTGTCTCTTGTCAACTGTAAGAAAGCCTGGATTTACAGAGAAAGGAGGTGTTGGCTTACTATCTGGTAAACGGAGCAAGGATGGAAAATAGCTGATCTGTCCATGTTATGCCCAGAGAAGTGCTTTATGATGGACCTTTTTTTTTTCTTTTCTTAAACGTTTGTTTATTTTTGAGACGGAGAGAGAGCGCGAACTGGGGAGAGGCAGAGAGAGAGGGAAGCAGGCTCCAGGCTCTGAGCTGTCAGCCCAGAGCCTGACTTGGGGCTCTGACTCAAGAACTGCGAGATCATGATCCGAGCCAAAGTCAGACACTTAACCGACTGAGCCACCTAGGTCTTTTAAATGAGCCAATGTATTTCTCTTTTGAAAATGCTATTTAGTGTTTACACGTAAAAAGTAGAAAAGTTAGGAATTGAAAAAAAACAAACCTTCATCTTATTAATGTGCATTCTAGTCTTTGTATAGTTTAAGTTGAATGGCAGTTATAAGGAAACATAGCCTTTTTTTTTTTTTTTTTCTAAAAAACGTGAGGCATAAGCATATTGGTCTATTTATGTAATGGTCTGCAGTTTATACTCAACAAGAATTTCTTCAGTCCTGTTTTGCTTCGTTA